TATGAACCGATGAAGAGCTGCTACCCTTCCAGTCAACCTATGTATGTCCTTTACTGACTTCGGCGGTTCCATCTCGGCAATTGCTCTGATCTTCTCTGGGTTGACCTCAATTCCTCTCCGGGAAACCATAAAACCCAGGAATTTTCCAGATTCCACACCGAAGATGCACTTGGCTAGGTTTAACCTCATTCTATTCTGTCTGAGATTGTTGAATGTCTCCTCAAGATCGATTAAGTGATCGTCGGCTTTCAAGCTCTTTACCACTATATCATCAACATAAACTTCCAGATTCCGTCCTATCTGAGCTCGGAATACGATGGTAACCATCTTCTGGTAAGTGGCACCTGCATTCTTCAAGCCGAAAGGCATCATTACGTAGCAATAGATTTCATCGCCGGCATAGAACGAGGTTTTTTCTTCATCCTCAGGAGCCATTGGGACCTGGTGGTAGCCTGAGTATGCATCCAAGAGACTTAATCTCTCATTCCCTGAAGCTGCCTCAACCAGCTTATCAATGTTTGGCATTGGATAACAATCCTTTAGACATGCATCGTTGAGGTTAGTGTAATCGATGCACATCCGCCATTTACCGTTTGCTTTTTTCACCAACACCGGATTGGCGACTCACTCATAGTAATCTACCCTCCTAACAAAGCCGGCTTGTAGGAGCTTCTCGACTTCCTCTTTAATAACCTTTAACCTCTTCCCCCCGAAGAGACGTCGCTTTTGGGCTACTGGTTTCTTGAGGGGATTGGTGCTGAGTTTATGTTGAAAAACTGAAGTGGGGATTCCCGGCATATCTGCTGAAGTCCATGCAAAAACATCGTTATTGGCCCGAAGAAAAGCTATTAGCTCTGCTCTTTCTTCCGGGTTCAATTTAGTCCCAATTTGAGTTTTCCTGCTCGGATCTCTGTCATCAATCTGTACCTCCTCCACATCTTCGACTGGAGCAGCTTTGGTTTCATCTTCTGGTCGGTTATCTACTATTTCAACACCCATAACTTGCCAATCATCAGGTATCTGTTTGGGATTAATCTCGGGTGTCTGAGCCTTGCTCTTCTGAGATTGTGTCACCGAGGTGATATAACAATGCCGGGCTACCTCCTAGTTGCCTCGCAGTGTTGCTATTCCCGTAGGAGTTGGGAACTTCATGCATAGATGAAACTGGGAAACCACGGCTCAGATCTCAATCAGTGTCACTCATTTTACTTCGGCTACGACCACAGTGACTCACTGTCCCATGTTTCACTTCGGCTACGGCCACAATAACCCAGTGTCACTCATCTTACTTCGACTATGGTCATTTATTCAGGAGAAGTCATGGATTTTTATCTCCGTAGCTCATCT